CCCCCCCCCCCCCCCCCCCCCCCCCCCCCCCCCCCCCCCCGGGGCCCAGCTCTCAGCCCGCCACAGACCCGGCGCCCGCCCCGCCCACTGCGCTCTGCGCGCCTTGGAGCTGGGAGGTTCGTGGATCACAAAGCACTGGGTGGTCCTCCCGCGGGGTCCACCTTAGCACGGGCGGGGGACGTGACTCTTCCTTGTAGTGATAGAGACTAAATAGTCATGGGAAGTGGGGCAGAGTCCTCACTGCCTTTGATGTTAGCGGACCCTGGAACGAGCTCGGCACCGGTCTCAGTGCAGCTCCGCGCTGGACGGCGCGGTCCGCCAAGATCTGCGCCAGATCAAAGCAGAAAACCGAGGCTAAGCAGAATTTCTGGACGCTGTCTTCGCGCATTTTCTCTCCTGCGGTCGGGTTAAAAGTCATTTTAATAACTGCGGGAAAATGTAGCCTTGTAAACTGAAAGGGAACATGCCCAGTGCCCAAAGGAAACATGGACAGATTTAAGGGAGATGGGTGAATGCTTAGATCCATCTGGAAACGGAGCGCTGGTTTCCTCTAGAACAGTTCCTCAAAGTTTAGCGTGCCCAGAAGGCACCTGGGGATCTTGTTACGTGGAGTGGGATTCTGCGGGGTAACTCCTGACAATCTGCTTTCCTAACAGGCTTCCAGGTGCCCCTGGAAAGATGCTGCTTGGTCCACTGCAATGATAGAGCTTTTTAACAACTAGAGAAATTAGAAGTCAGGGGTTAGAAACTTTTGTAGCAATTTAACAGTGCCACTACATCCCACCACATTATGGATACTCTTTGAACCGACCCAGTTGGGTGTTGTCGGACTTACTTCTGAGTCACACCTGGCACAGCATATTGGCAGTTGGCAGATTGAGAACCAAATGACTGGTTGTTCACCACAAATGGTTTGAGAAGTTCTTTCCCTGGGATCTGCCAACTGCTGTGCAACCTTTAAAACAGCTTAGAAAGGTATCTTCCAGGGAAAACCTTCTGAGAGATGTCAGATGTATCAGAGATGAATGAATGAATGAAACAAGTTTCAAATCCTTGTTTGGAAATTCAAGCATTTTTGTAACTTAATCTCAGAGCGGTTATTTAGCATTAATATCATTACTTCTACCCACTACCCTTTGGGAAAAGTAGGGTATAAACTAAGCAGTGATATTGGGCTATGTCATTGCTCTATTCTGCATACGCTTAGGGCACTACATAGTAAAGGTTGTGTTCAAGGTTGAAGTTATGATAGAGTCAGGATAAATAACAATCCCAAACACCAACCAAAGTGCTTAGTCAAATGAGTCCTGTACCTAATTGTGTTCAGATACTAGAGCAGAACAATTACAGTCATTATGGTATTAATCTGCACACAGCATCTCTTTCAAAAGAAATTGCTAGGGAGCTTGTTCCGGGGGTGTGGCTTCGTTCTCAGCATCAGCCCAGTCACTGGTATATTGGGCAAGCTTGGCCATATCATTTCAAATCACTCTCCGATCCAATAAGTTCTCTTCAATTGTAATAAAGGTACCACACTAATGCAACATTAATAATAGGGGTGAGGGTGAAGGGTTATATGGGCACTCAATTTTTTCTGTAAACCTACACCTTTTTAAAAAGTTTGTTGATTTTTTTTTCAAAATCACTTTCTTGTCAAGTAGAAAATATGGATAATAATTGCATTTAATTTGACTCATACAAAGAATTGTGAGCCATATCCAATATATGAAGTTCAATTTCATGGAATCATTTCATTTCCTTAAAAAGTTTACATCAGTTTTACAATTATGATCCCTAGACTGTCTTGTCAAAATCCCCTAGGAGAAGTTGTTAAAACAAACTTAAAAAAAAAAAAAAAAAAACGACTCAATCTCTTAAGCATATTGGGAGCCTAAAAGTCTGTATTTTAGTAAGTATCCAGGAAGCCCAGAGTTTGAGAATCACTGCTTTAAGTTGTCAAAATTCATCAGATTTTCTGTATGTGTGCACATTCTCAAAAAGGTATTAAGATAAATTGCAGCACTGACTCTATTTACAGAACAAACAGCAAAGTGCATGTTGTTTTAAGCATTCTAAATAGGGTATCTAATCCCCAGGTATTTGGGGTAGAAGCAGTTGTTTGAAAAAAAAAATGTGTTCAATTTACAAGGTTTGTTGGCAAGATGAACAGAGAAGACATTTAAGTCAATAGATAGCTAAGAATACCCATGCTTGGTACCATCTTTTAGGAGGTGTTTCTGTGCAGGGAGCAGTTCTCCTGTTTGGACAAAGCTGTTTAGGCTCAGAGGGCTATGCCCCATGCTCTCAGACGTGACAAGGTACCAGAACCTGTCAGAATGACTTGTTTCTTCTCAACAATCCTACTTATTTTCAAAGATATCAAGTTAATGGTGTGTAATGTTTTCAAAAGAAAACACCTCAAAAAGCTCAAGTTCTCTTGTTTTAGTGGCATCAATTATTTCAAGACTGACAACACTTTATTTTACTCTGTTTGGAAATTCAAGCATTTTTGTAACTTAATCTCAGGGCGGTTATTTAGACTGTATTGGACTATTTCCCCACCATAAGAGAGAGTGATGTAAGTCTATTTGTGAGTTAAGTAATATAACCTTTCTTTGTTCTCCACCACGTGCTTATTTGTTTTCCATTGAGATGTGTTGTCTTAATTCCTTTGTGCTTTCAAATTGAGTTGCTTCGTTGTTGTTGATGCTCCTTCTGTTGATCCTAATCTTGATATGTGTGCAGGTGTAGAGTCAGTTCCATTATCTTTATTTTTATTAAATACTCAACACTTAATTGCTCCAGAGTAATGGTTTAATTACTAGTTACAGAAAGGGAAAGTTCTGCAGGGTTCTTTCACACAAATTAGAAGTTAATAACTGACACATTTCTAAACTCCTTTTGTGCTTGACTAAACAGTAGTTCATCCTTTCTGCTTATTTACAGTGTTGGATGTTGAAAAATTCAAAGGTGTTTGTCTTTTTGAACAAACACAAATTAAGGGAATTCTTCAAAGTATTTCCTTTACTTAGCATAATTTGCCATTCAAAAAATCTTCAAGGAAATATTTTTTTCTGTGAAACTGAAAACCACTGTGAATCATTTCTATAGAAAAAATACAATTTTGATGGGGGATACCTTAAATGTCACACATTGCAATAGAATTAGTCAAGTGCAGAAGAAAAAAAGAAATAAAATGGAGATAAGATACTCAAAAACCTCCTTTTGATGGCACTCATTTTTCTAGACAAGAAGAGCTAGGGCCAGCGTGTAATAGACCTCATTAGACAGCATTGATGGACAGTGAATTCTAACTAGACCCCTGTCACTTCAAACTATAAGAATGTTTTCTAAAGTGATATCCCACACAAACATGAGTGTTGTTTTTATAAATCAATCCATGTCCATACTTGGTCCTTGTTATGGTTTAGATGTGAGCTGTCCTCCAAAAGCTCATGTGGGAGACAAGGCAAAAGGATATAGAGGAACCTTAACCTAATCAGTGAGTTAATCACCTGATGGGATTAACTGAGTGGTAACTAGAGGCAGGTAGGGTGTGGCTGGAGGAAGTGGAGCATTGGGGGTGTGGCTTTGGTGTATATATTTGTATTTTCTGATCATCATGTGAGCTACTTCCCTCTACCACACTCTTCTGTCATGATGTTCTTCCTCACCTCAACAGCCCCCCCCCCCCCAATGGAGCCGGCCAGCCTCCTATGGACTGAGACAGAGGAAACTGTGAGCCCCCAAATAAACTTTTCCTCCTCTACAGTTATTCTGGCCAGTTCTTTTAGTCACAGCAGTGAAAAAGCTGGCTAAAACAGTCCTGCTTCTGTTTACATGAAAAATAGTACAAAAATCTTTGAAATCCTGAAAACCTCCATGATGATACGTTAAGCCCACTTGGAGCTTCATTGGACATCTCCCTCCCTTTCTCTTGATTTCTCTGTATGTTCAGGCCTCCACTCTCTTCACTAATCCAGAGGCTGGGAAGCTGACTTTCCAAGGCCTGCATCCCTGTCCCTGTTGTTAATCACATGTTTAACACTTTGAATTTTGTGCCCTTACTTATTGCCTGTTCTTGCAACTTCAATCTTTTCCTGCCCTTTATCTAGGCCAGTAAATGTGATTGTGTCCACTGGGTTTGTGAACAGCTGTTCCTTAACATAATTGCTTTCCTGAACCACTAGGCCATCTCTCTTCAAATTCCTTGCCTTGGTTTGGATTGTGTTGGTTCAAGCTGGAGGCTTGGTCCCTAATGCGATGGCTTGGAAAAGTAGAGAACCTGTTATGGTTTGGATATGAAGTCCTCCAAAAGCTCACATGTGAGCCAATGCAAGAAGCTTTGGAGAAGAAATGATTGGGTTACAGCCTTAACTCAATCAGTTAATTATTCCCTGATGGGATTAACTGAGTGCTAATGGGAGGCAGGTGGGGTGTTACTGGAGGAAGTGGTTCACTGGTGTCATGGATATGGGGTACACATCTGTATCTGGCAAGCGGAGACCTTTCTCTGCTTTCTGATCAGCATGTGAGCTGGTTTCCTCTGCCACACTTCTGCCATGATGTTCTGCCTCACCTTGAGCCCTGAGGAATGGAGTCTGCTGTCTATGGATTGAGACCTCTGAAACTGGGAGCCCCTAAAGAAGTCTTTCCTCCTCTATGTTCTGGTTGGGTCCTTTTAGTCACAGCAGTAAAAATGCTCACTAAAACAGAACCC